GCCTAGAGGGAGGGCAGTCCATAATAAAAAAGACTCTGAAGCTCTCCCCCAGTGAACTGACTTTATTTGGAACTAATTGTAGGGGAGTCCAAGCCTAAGGACACTATCAAAACCAATAGCGATTTGGGTGGCAATCAGTTAAGAAATTATATACTTCTCTTAAACAAAAGCAACAAGTTAAACCATAGGCTAGCTAGTTCATCAGAGAGAACCAGAAAAAGAGAGTTAAGAGCTCTCCTGCAGTTAGAACCCCCAAAACTACCCGTCCCCAAATTTATTTACTTATTTTTTTAAATTTACTTATTTTTTTTAAATATGAAATTTATTGTCAAATTGGTTTCCATACAACACCCAGTGCTCATCCCAACAGGTGCCCTCCTCAATACCCATCACTCAACCTCCCCTCCCTCCCACCCCCCATCAACCCTCAGTTTGTTTTCAGTTTTTAAGAGTCTCTTATGTTTTGGCTCCCTCCCTCTCTAACCTTTTTTTTTTTTCCCTTCTCCTCCCCCATGGTCTTATGTTAAGTTTCTGAGGATCCACATAGGAGTGAAAACATATGGTATCTGTCTTTCTCTGCATGACTTATTTCACTTAGCGTAACACTCTCTAGTTCCATCCACGTTGCTACAAAAGGCCATCTTTCATTCTTTCTCATTGCCACGTAGTATTCCATTATGTATATAAACCACAATTTCTTTCTCCATTCATCAGTTGATGGACATTTAGGCTCTTTCCATAATTTGGCTATTGTTGACAGTGCTGCTATAAACATTGGGGTACAAGTGCCCCTATGCATCAGCACTCTTGTATCCCTTCCTTCCCCAAATTTAATTGGATCAGACCGGAGCGATTCCCCAGGGCACTGTCAAAAACTACAGAGCAATCAGGTGGAAACTAGTGGAACCTAACAGCTGGCTGAGATATGGGTAGTGGAAGACAGAGAGCTTACAGAAAGAGACAAAAAACTGACAAAATCACTGCCATCCCAGGGTGATTCTGTGCATGCTCAAGGATGTGCCCTCTGAGAACCGACACCAGACACTTCACACCAAAGGGGAAGTAAACTTTACTAAAATAGTCCAGCCAAGTTATTAAAAAGATAAATTAAAACTTGCCTTACGTCCCAGAGTGTAGTCCTTCTTAGGAAATGTTCTATGTACATGTGAAGGAATATACAATTTGCTGTTGTTGGGTGAACTCTTTCATAAATCTCTATTAGAACAAGTTAGTTGATAAAGTTGTTCAGGTCTTCTACGTACTGATTGTCCATCTACTTGTTCTATCAATTATTTAGAGGTATGGAAATTTCCAACTGTTACCGTGGATTTGTCTATTTCTCCTGGCAGTTCTATCTGATTTTGCTTCCTGCATCTTGAAGCTCTATTATTTGATGCATAAACACTTATGATTGTGATGTCCTCCTGATGAACAGGATGTCTTTTCATTGTGAAAGGACATTCTCGTTCCTTGCGGTATTAACTGCTGTGAAATCTACTTTGTCTCGTGTTAATTTGGCCTCTCTGGTTTTCTGTTCCTTGGTGTTCCAGGTTTTATCTTCTGTTTCATTTCCTTTGTGGCAGTGATGATGTCCTTAGGTTTTTTTCAGCTTCCATAAAGGACATAGAAGGGTGGGAGGAGAGGTGGGAGAGCAAGGCTGAGAGAGGCAGATGAGAACTTGTTCTTGAACTCACTGCCATGCAAGTCCTGGGAAGCAGAAAAGCTCATTCATCAGCTTTCTGCTACATGCAACTTAGCTTAAAGCGCTCCATCTCTAATTGAAAACAGCAGTGGAAGCATGGAGAGATAAGGAAGAAGTTTCCTTGATAGTCTAGCTGGCAGGGGCCAGTCACTGCTGTCACTCCTGGGGAAGTCCAACTTCTCCATCTGGACTAGAGGCCACTGGGAGCTGACAGTCTCATGCCACATCACATAGCCCAGGGCAGCAGCAAGTGGAGTGGAATGAACACTGCATAGATAGATATAGGTCTTCTTCTGGTTCTTTAAAAAGGGGGAGAGAGAGAGAGTTTTCATCCATGATCTCAAGTTATCTCTCTGTGTGTATGATAGACCACTGGTTCTCAATCTGGCTGCATAGGAAGTACCGTTAATTCCCTCTCCTGCCCTCACCTGATTTAATTAATCTGAAGGGTGCCCAGGAAGCATCATTTTTTAAACAACCCACACCCCTGTCAGGTGACCATAACGTTCAGCCAGTTACAGGAAACACTAAACAAAACCAGAAGGGCTTTCTCCCAATGTCTCCCAATGCAAAAGCCTGTATGACTCACCTCACTGCAGTTAAAATGCATTCCTTGGATACCTATGCTAGAATGGTGATGTGTGAGGTAAGTTTAAACTCACAGTTCTCAAGAAAAATCTTTAAAAGTGCTTCCATGCCCATATTCAAACAGATTTTCAAAACGGGAGGCTCAGTTCTCTACAATGGCCTCCCTGATCAAGTAACATCCCCCCCTTCAAGAGACGGTATTTTGTGGATACAGAGAACAAAGATAGTTTACGGAAAATTATCACCAGAAAAGCCTGGGTTATTTTTTGTTATTATTTATCTTTACACTACTTAATCAGCCTTGAAATGAATCCTTTGTATGTCTCTGTAGGAATGAATAGAATCTTTACATGATTGACTTCTAACAGTTAAAAATAACACCTCAGTCAAAACTGAGTTTTGTTTCTAGTCATGTTTCTCATAGAGACAACAGATCCACCAGTGATACCTACATGTATAAATTCTGGGCCATAAGAATTTGGATTGCATTTTTTTTAACGTTTGTTTATCTTTGAGAGACAGAGAGAGAGAGAGGCAGAGAGAATGAAATGAGAAAACCTAGGATAAGTGCTTGACAGTTTATCTGTCCTATTGACGATACTTGTTCAATATAAGATATTTGTAATATTATCATTACTTTTATTACCACCGTTTGTGCAGCCCACCTTCCTAAGCCTTTTCACATCATAGGCAATTTTTTATTTATGTGTCTGTTTCCTGAGATGAAAAGACACATAAAGTATGGCTCCCACCCTCAAAGTGATTTCACTCATATGTGGCATTTAGGATACAAAACAGATCAACATATGGGAATGGGAAAGGGAAAGAAAAGAGAGGGAAACAAACCATAAGAGACTCTTAACTATAGAGAACAAAAACAAGTTAATGGAGGGAGGTGGGGGCGGGGAGGTGCTGGGCTAAATGGGAGATGGGTATAAAGGAGGCATTTGGGATGAGCCCTGGGTATTACATCTAAGTGATGAATCACTTACTTCTACGCCTGCAACCAATATTACCCTATATTTTAACTAACTAGAATTTAAATAAAAAATTGGAAAAAAATAAAGTAGATCTCAAGGGGGAAAAAATGCTTATGAGCCTTTTTTTTCCCTTTCTAACAGCTAAGCCTAATCTTAACCGAATAGTTACCTTAGTGTCACTTTGAGGGTGGGAACCATACTTTATGTGTCTTTTCATCTCAGGAAACAGACACATAAATAGAAAATTGCCTATGATGTGAAAAGGCTTAGGAAGGTGGGCTGCACAAATGGTGGTAATAAAAGTAATGATAATATTACAAATATCTTATATTAAACAGGTATTGTCAATGGGACAGATAAACTGTCAGGTACTTATCCTAGGTTTTCTCATTTAATTCTCTATTATGGAATCTGAACTGTGAGGTCATGCGGATTAAAAAGAAATTCCTAATCCAGCAATGGCAGCAGCACAGATTATAAACAGCATTGTACATCGGGAAGATGACCTAGGGGACCTGGAAAAAGGAGTGTAAAATAAATTTTGTTGTATTTATATCAGTTTTCTCAGTTGACATGTTACCTACGGAGAAGAGTCCCAGGCAAATGAGTCGCTTTACCAAGGTCACTGCCAATTAGCAGAAACCCTGCTAGACATGGACACATGCTGACCTAAAGATAGCAGATACACACAGCCACAGAAACACTGCAGTTGTTTCCAGGCGAGGATAGACTAGAATCAGCACACGGCACAGGGAGAATACTCTTGTTTTCCTACCTGGAAGTTTTTCTATCAGATTTCTATATCAGCTTAGAAGTTCCCATTTTTCTTCTAACATATGGGTGAAAAAGCCATTCAGACCATAAGCTCTCTCCCAGTAGTGTAATTTTGGCCAGAGTATCTTACAGAGGTTGTCCTCTGACCTGACATAGCACCCCTGTATTACCCTCATAATAGGTGACTATAAGGAAGGATATGCTATCTTTCCTGTCTCCTTTCTAGACTAAACAAAGTACTATCTTGCAAGTATCCTCTTATGATCTAATGAGAGAAAGCACTTTTAAAAGGAAAATGCAGACAATTTTATAAATTGTTAATATAAAATTGTATTCATGAAAGAGTGAGGATTTTTAACAGTACAACATTTACTAGCCTATCTCCTTAGTTTTAGATCCAAGTTGACAGGGTTACATCTAGCAACAAGAGTTAGAATTCTGAGTGTGCCACTGGGGCCTAAATTTAAAAATAAAGTAATAGAATACATTAGAAAATAGAATCAAGTGCATATGGGAATGCAGTCTATGTCAATCCTCCTTCCTTCTGATTACCTAGTGTTAAACACTACTTGGACTTCTATCACCAATCAAAGTTTAATCTGTTTCTGATTTTCACATAAAATAACTTCATGTACTCTTTCCTGATTGACTTATTTGTTCAATGTTATGTTTGTGACAGTTATTCTTTTTTTTAAAATCTTACTTAAATCCAAGTTAGTTAACATATAGTGTAATAATGGTTTCAGAAGTAGAATTTAGTGATTTGTCACTTACATATATCACCCAGTGCTCGTCCCAACAAGTGCCCTTCTTAATCCCCCTCATCCATTTAGTCCATCCCCCCATGCAGTATCCCTCCAGCAATTCTCAGTTTGTTATCTGTATTTAAGAATCTCTTATGGTTTGTCTCCCTCTCTGTTTTTATCTTATTTTTCCTTCTCCTCCCCTACGTTCACCTATTGTGTTTCTTAAATTCCACATATGAATGAAATCATATGACATTTCTCTTTCTCTGACTTATCTCGCTTGGCCTAATACCCTCTAGTTCCATCCACGTTGTTGCAAATGGCAAGATTTCATTCTTTCGGATGGCCAAGTAATATTCTAGTGTGTGGGCATCTGTGTGTTTGTGTGTGTGTGTGTGTGTGTGTGTGTGTGTGTGTGTGTGTGTACCACATCTTCTTTATCCATTTGTCAATGGATATTTAGGCTCTTTCCATAATTTGGTTATTGTTGATAGTGCTGCTGTAAACATTGGGGTGCATGTGCCCCTTTGAAACGGCACTCCTGTATCCTTTAGATGAATACCTAGTAGTGTAATTGCTGAGTCATAGGGTAGCTCTATTTTTAATTTTTTGAGGAACTTCCATACTGTTTTCCAGAGTGGCTGCACCAGTTTGCATCCCCACCAGCAGTGCAAAGTGTTCCCCTTCCTCCAGACCTGTTTGTGATAGTTATTCTTATTGTGTACAAGAGTTCACTCTTTCATTGCACAGCAAATGTTTCTCAGCCTTGGCACTCTTGATTTGGGGCTGGATAATTTTTTGTTGTGGGAACTGCCCTGTGATTATAGGATGTTAAACAGCAATGATGGCTTCTAACCATCTGATGCCAATAGCACCTTTTCTGCTAAGCAACCCAGCTGTGACAATCAAATATGGCTCCAGACATTGCAAAGATCACCACTGGGGCAAAATGACCACACTTGGGTACTACTGAGCTGGAATAAATAAAATCATCTCTATTCAATCACATTCTAGTCTCGTAATAGGTGTTCCAGGGTCTAAGCAGCCATAAGGGCCAGACAAAAGCATGGAAGAAAGAGCCACTTGACAATGTCTAAGGAAGAGGTCGTCTTTGCTTCAAAATATGTTTAAATTTACTGATTCTCTATGGAGAAGCTAACAGTAACAGTATCCAACCCACTGATTCAGGTTATAAATCCTCTCAGTCAAGATAAAAAGAGAGAGGGAGGCAAACCATAAGAGACTCTTAAATACAGGAAACAAATTGAGGATTGCTGGAGGGGTGTTGGGTGGGGTGATGGGCTAACTGGGTGACAGGCATTAAAGAGGGCACTCATTGGGATGAGCACTGGGTGTTATATTTAAGTAATGAATCACTATATTCTACTCCTGAAACCATTACTACATTATATGTTAATTAGCTTGGATTTAAATAAAATTTAAAAAATCAAATTAAAAAAAACAAAATTAAAAAAAATCCTCATGGTCTCTGTATTTTGTGACTTTATCAATGGGTAAGAATGTTTACCCAATTTTATCAAATTTTTGAATATTTTTATGTGAAGTATTTTTCATATTTTGAAGTTGAAAATATCTAGTTCAAAACATTGCCAAATGCCAAGAGTTCTTGTAATTTTCCTTTTGACCATCTTATTCACGATAATATTAAATAATTGAATTCAGAATGAAATCTAAAACTTTCACTAGAAATATATAACAAATCTAAGTAAAGCCTTCAAACTTGCTGCCTCTGGTACAACATGTTTACCTCATACAGATAACATTAATGAATCCTTGGATTAATGATCCATCAAATCTGAAGATAACATGATAAGATGATGATGATGGCACTGTTAAGGATGACAAATGTCAACATCAAATAGGTTAGTAACACAAGCTCACATTCATGAAGTCATTTGTGAGCACTATGGGATGGATTTTCCATAGTTTGTCTTATGAGACCAAAACACCAGGATGCTGTGAATCAAACTCAAATGTAGCCCTTACTAACACCAAAGCAGGTACTTTTAAACATGATTTCATCTAGTTGTTCAATAAGTATTCACCACTGACCATTTCCTAGACAGTGTGGAAAGGATCAAGGATTTGTGGTTAGCAAAACAGACTTGGTCCCTGTGCTCATGTAGTTTTTCATTTAGAAATAAAGACATTAACCAAATTGTTATACCAATAGGATTTTGAACTTATAAGCATTGTAAAAGAACAGTACAAGGTACCAAGAGTAAAAGCAGAAAGGAGCCCCAATTTAGATTTGTCAGTCAGTGACCCTCCCCTGAGGAAATGAGAGTAAGATGAATTTATAAGAGCACAACCAGGAAAGATACGAGAGAAGGGAGTTTCAGGCAGAAGACTGTGCCTAATTCCTTACTGGGGAAGAGACTGCTGTGTTTGGTCCGGGGAGGATGATCCACGTGGTGAAGTAGAGACAGCCCATGTTTAGAAGAGCAGGCAGGAGCCTCATTGTGTAGGACCTTACAGGCCTTGTGTGGAGACTGGACTTTACCCTAACTGCAGTAAGAAGCTTTTAAGATTTTGTGCAGAAAAGTGACATGACTTAATTGGTGTTGTTTTTTTTTTTTTTTTTTTAAACCGCTGTGATGGCTGCATGGAATGAATTGGACGTGGCCCATTGATAATTCCTGGCCATGTCAGCAGCCCTGAAAAAAGTTCAACCTACAGCTTCTTAAAATGACCAGCCTTTTGAGGGTGTCTGGGTGGCTCAGATGGTTAAGCTTCCAACTTTGGCTCAGGTCATGATCTCATAGTTCGTGGGTTCAATCCCCATATCAGGCTCTGTGCTGACAGCTCAGAGCCTGGAGCCTGCCTCAGATTCTGTGTCTCCCTCTCTCTCTCTCTGCCCCTTCCCCACTCATGCTCTGTTTCTCTCTGTCTCAAAAATAAACAAACATAAAAATTTTTTTAAATGATCAGCTTTTTGTACAAAGAATGAAAATGCCAAGGGCTATCTATATACTTCCTTCTGACAAACAGTAGGCTCTTTCCTTCCCACGTGCACATACTTCCAGTCATTGTTTCTTGTTTTAGATTTTTTATAATCATTTTAACCATTTGTAAGTGTACATTTGAGTAGTATTAAATACATACACATTGGGTTTTTTTATTTTTACCTCCTGAATTTTTTTAATGAAATTTATTGTCAAATTGGTTTCCATACAACACCCAGCGCTCATCCCAACAGGTGCCCTCCTTAATGCCCAACACCCACTTTCCTCTCCCTCCCATCCCCCATCAACCCGCAGTTTACTCTCCATATACATTGTTATGTAAGAGATCTCCAGAACGTTTTTATCCTGCAATGCTGAAATTATATCCATTAAATAATTTACATTTTCCCCTCCCCTAAACCTCTGGTAACTACCATCCTACTTTCTCTTCCTATGAATTTGATTAGTCATTATGTTTTTTCTTAATTAACTGTTGAAGTGCAATCGATAGCATATTTTTTCCTCCCAAATTCAAACATTTGAAATTTTATTTTTCTTAGCTTGGTACTTTTTAGTTTAAGCGAACTTTGTTCTGTACCTTTCCTGCCTCTCCCTACAAAACAAACTGGACTTTTTCCACCCTCTCTTTTCTCATCCATACACTTCTGTTACATATGCCCTTATTCGAACCTAGACACATCATGCTGCTTTGCCTCTACTTCACCAAGAACAGCAGGAAACCTCCAAGGGGTTAGACAGAAAGCTGACCCAATGGAAAGAGTCTGCTGCTGTTTCATAGATGTTACCTAGAAACGGCACCAAAACTCGGCCCTTGTTATCAATCTCTCTGCTCCAGACTTTCCCATTTGCTGCAATCCCTCATAGCTTTAAACTGGAGAGTATGTTTTAAAATAAACTCATGCAAAGGTTTCAAGCCAGAAAAACAATCTCTGAGATCATGCAAGTCTACTGGAAAGGTATTTCCTGAAATTGTACTTCAGGTTTGAAACCGAAAGCAATGACCTGCTATTTTCAAAACAATTCTAGGAAATCAGTTGCTTTTCAGTTATGGGAAAAAACAAACATGACTTTTAAAGTCTCTAAACTATTAGCAGACTGCATAAAAAGTGTTCAAGGACAACCAGACCACTGTCCCTGAGGGGCCTCTCTCTAGATACCACCCTCCACAGGGGTTATCTGTGTTTCACCAATCAGAAAAATGTGATGGCATGTGCAGCTACTGCTTATTTCAAAACCATCACCAAAGCTCCAGAGCCCTCAAAATGTCTACTCAACGTCAGCTCCATGTCTCTGTCCACCTGTGGAACACTCTCCCCACAGTTTCCAAAGCAAGTGTGTCTGGGCACCATTTATAAAGCTCACGATTTACATATGGCCTCCTTCTCTCTCACAGCAGAGTAACTATTGGGATAACATGATCACTATGTAAAACAAATGTCACTATTTTAACAGGTCTCCCAAATTCGTGACATAGAGGAAAATTATGTTTATAAAGATACTTTGAAATGCTTACTGAAACATAGGAGACTATACCAGGTTGTAAGTCTCTGCAGAAAGCTAAATCATGGAAAGTGACAGTGAACTTGGCTTGCCAGATGATTTTATTTCCTCCTAAAGCAGATGGTGGGTGAGAAAAGAAAACAGAAAAGGTGGAGGAGAGAAAGCGCAGACCCAAGGGCTTCAGAGGACTGGAAGTCTTGTCACTCTCCACAAAACGGACAGGCAAAAACAGCGGAGGAAATGATATCCCCAAATTAGGGGAGCTTGGGAAGATGGCTGAGCAGGAGGACCACATTTAAAACTAGATCTCATCCACATCCAAGTCAATAACAGTAAGCCTGGCAGAACGAACTCCATAAGTAAATAGAGAGTAGAAGCTGCATCTGAAAGGTTAGGAAGGTCAGAAAGGCAGAGGGAGGCTGCTGGCAAGAGGGAGCCAGCTGCGTGCTCTGAGAGGGTGGAGAAAAGGCCCAGGCCCTTGCACCCCATAATGTTTGGCTTTAAAGACCAAAGGGGATGGATTCCATGAGTTTTTGGGGGGGAGGGCTTAAGATTTTTTTTAAGTTTATTTATTTATTTTAACAGAGAGCACAAGCAGGGGAGGGGCAGAGAGAGAGAGAGAGAGAGAGAGGGAGAGAGAGAATCCCAAACAGGCTCTGCTCTGTCAATGCAGAGCCAGATGTGGGGCTTGATCCCAGGAACCATGAGATCATGACCTAAGCCAAAACTAAGTGCTGTACCCAGCCTGGCACCCCCATCTACTGTAGCACACTGAGCTCATATGCTGGGTGAACCAGCAACAAATTTGAGCACCACACCCAGCTGCCCCACTGCACCCAGCCTCGGGGCCCCCAGTTATTGCTGTATGCTGCACCCAGCCTAGGCCAGGGACCCTGCTGAGCAGCCTCCAGCCGAGGTATCGCTTCAGGGGATCTGGCCTAGGACTAGAGGCCCAACCAAATTTTGCTGACACTGCCACTCCAAAGTATGTAACTTACACAACTCAACATCCAAAAAGCTAATAATCCAATTAAAAAATGAGTAGAAGACATGAACATTTTTCTAAAGAAGACATCCAGATATCCAATAGACACATGAAAAGATGTTCATCATCACACACAGATGTTGGCAAGGATGCAGAGAAAGGGGAACCCTCTTGCACTGTTGATGGGAATGCAAATTGGTGCAGCCTCTGTGAAAAACAGTATGGAGGTTCTTCAAAAAACTAAAAATAGAACTACATTACGATCCAGAAACAGCACTATTATTTACCCCAAAAATACAAAAACACTTTTTCAAAGGGATACATGTACCCCTATGTTTGTTGTAGCATTTATTACAAAAGCCAAGCTATGGAAACAACCCAATTGTCCATAGATTGACGAATGGACAAAGAAGATGTGATGTATATATACAATGGAATGTTATTCAGTCATAAAAAAGAATGAAATCTTGCCGTTTGCAATGACATGGATGGAGCTAGAGAGTATAATGCTACGCGAAATAAGTCAGTCAGAGAAAGACAAATACTATACAATCTCACTCATATGTGGAATTTAAGAAACAAAACAAACAAGCAAAGGGAAAAAGAATGAGAAAGAAACTAAGAGACAGACTCTTAATTTTAGAGAACAAATTGATGTTTACCAGAGGAGAGGGCGAGGGGGTGTTGGGTTAACTAGGTGATGGGGATTTGCGTGATGAGCTCCAGTGATGTATGGAATTGTTGAATCCCTACATTGTACACCTGAAACTAATACAACACTGTAAGATAACTAACTGGAATTAAAATTAAAACTTAAAAAAAAAACAATAACCCCTTCCACATATTCAGTAAAATCCATTACACTTATACCTGCTTTTTAGATAGTCTTGCATTTGAGTGGGAATGAAAAGAGAAGCTATATCCAGCCCTATCTCTGATTCAGATACACCCCAAAGCTGAAAGATCATCATCACCATGACTACAAAAACCATGCTCTATGGGAATAGAAAATGAGCGTGATCTCAGCTTTCCCTGGAAAACCACTCAAATATTACAAATATTACATTAACGCAGTGAAAATCAGTCCTTCCACTTCTTCTATTTTTGGGAGGGTGTGCAGGTTGAGACGATACGTTTGAGTGAGAAGCAAGGTTTTGCCGTAATAAGTGTTCATCGTAGAGTAAGTAAGTCCAGCGTGACCTAGTTTGTGAGAGAAAGCTCTGAAAGTGAGATCTCAGGAAAAGGAATGGAGGTCCTTCCCATCATCTTGGACCAAAGAACATAAATCATTCCTTTGTCTCATGTGTCAAGAGAGTGTCTTGTACAGTAGTTCCTTGTGTGAGATTGAAACTGAGATATTCCAAGGGCTCCTGGGTGGCTCAATTGGTTAAGTGTCCAAATTTGGCTCAGGTCATGATCTCACAGTCCATGAGTTCAAACCCCGCATCAGGTTCTGTGCCAATAGCTCAGAGCCTGGAGCCTGCTTCAGATTCTGTGTCTCCCTCTCTCTGTGTCCCTCCCCCACTCATACTCTGTCTCTCAAAAATAAATAAAAACATAAAAAAATTTTTTAAAAAAAGAAACTGAGAAAGCTTATGAAGGAAATTGAAGAAGATATAAAGAAATGGAAAAACATTCCGTGCTCATGGATTGGAAGAATAAATATTGTCAAAATGTCAATACTACCCAAAGCTATCTACACATTCAATGCAATCCCAATCAAAATTGCACCAGCATTCTTCTCAAAACTAGAACAAGCCATCCTAAAATTCATATGGAACCACAAAAGGCCCTGAATAGCCAAAGTAATTTTGAAGAAGAAGACCAAAGCAGGAGGCATCACAATCCCAGACTTTAGCCTCTACTACAAAGCTGTCATCATCATGACAGCATGGTATTGGCACAAAAACAGACACATAGACCAATGGAATAGAATAGAAACCCCAGAACTAGACCCACAAACATATGGCCAACTCATCTTTGACAAAGCAGGAAAGAACATCCAATGGAAAAAAAGACAGTCTCTTTAACAAATGGTGCTGGGAGAACTGGACAGCTACATGTAGAAGATTGAAACTAGACCACTTTCTCACACCATTCACAAAAATAAACTCAAAATGGATAAAGGACCCGAATGTGAGACAGGAAACCATCAAAACCCTAGAAGAGAAAGCAGGAGAAGACCTCTCTGACCTCAGCCGTAGCAATTTCTTACTTGACACATCCCCAAAGGCAAGGGAATTAAAAGCAAAAATGAACTACTGGGACCTTATGAAGATAAAAAGCTTCTGCACAGCAAAGGAAACAACCAACAAAACTAAAAGGCAACCAACGGAATGGGAAAAGATATTTGCAAATGACATATCGGACAAAGGGCTAGTATCCAAAATCTATAAAGAGCTCACCAAACTCCACACCCGAAAAACAAATAACCCAGTGAAGAAATGGGCAGAAAACATGAATAGACACTTCTCTAAAGAAGACATCCGGATGGCCAACAGGCACATGAAAAGATGCTCAACGTCGCTCCTCATCAGGGAAATACAAATCAAAACCACACTCAGATATCACTCCACGCCAGTCAGAGTGGCCAAAATGAACAAATCAGGAGACTATAGATGCTGGAGAGGATGTGGAGAAACGGGAACCCTCTTGCACTATTGGTGGGAATGCAAATTGGTGCAGCCACTCTGGAAAACAGTGGTGGAGGTTCCTCAAAAAATTAAAAATAGACCTACCCCATGACCCAGCAGTAGCACTGCTAGGAATTTACCCAAGGGATACAGAAGTACTGATGCACAGGGGCACTTGTACCCCAATGTTTATAGCAGCACTCTCAACAATAGCGAAATTATGAAAAGAGCCTAAATGTCCATCAACTGATGAATGGATAAAGAAATTGTGGTTTATATACACAATGGAGTACTACGTGGCAATGAGAAAGAATGAAATATGGCCCTTTGTAGCAATGTGGATGGAACTGGAGAGTGTGATGCTAAGTGAAATAAGCCATACAGAGAAAGACAGATACCATATGGTTTCACTCTTATGTGGATCCTGAGAAACTTAACAGAAACCCATGGGGGAGGGGAAGGAAAAAAAAAAAAAAAGAGGTTAGAGTGGAAGAGAGCCAAAGCATAAGAGACTGTTAAAAACTGAGAAGAAACTGAGGG